TAGTCATCCCCAGAATTTAGCCAAGAGTCTGCCCTAGAGAAGTACTCAATACACCTTAGGTGAATCACAAACCATCTTGCCCTTCACCAATTGCATGGCTTCATGGAGTGGGGCCCCAGATGTTCCAAGCTAGCTGTTTCTTAGTGGTTCAGTATGGAGTTATATACAAACCCTCATCTGTCAGAGTCAGGGAATATGTAGGTAAGGCAGAGAGTTTCAGAGCCTGCAGAGCCTGGAGATGCCCACTGTCCTCCAGCTTCTGTGCTCCCCTCATTTGTTCTTTTAGAGAAGTAGAGGGCAAAAGACAGCCCAGTCTTATTTCTGATCACTTCTACTTCTGCCACTTTCTTCAACCCCTTAGCACTTGGGTGTACAAATGCCAACTGAAATCCATTATCAGGTGAAAACTCATTGGCAGGAAACCAACCCGAGTACTTGTTAAGAACTCTAGAACTACAATTACTGAAAAGTAGTTTTTGCCTTTCGACCGATTCCATCTCCCAAATCTTGGGAGCTAATAAGGTGAACACTTGAAAATCCAAGCTCACTCTACTGTATGTTTAAACAATTATAGTAAAGAAAGGATACCTAGCTTCTCTTCCTTCTCAGGTCTTCCAGGTCCAATACCGAACCGCTGCTTCTCGTCCCAGCCTATCCACAGCAGCTTCTCATTAAGATACTAGAAACAACTAGAGGATGAACGTATCATCTTGCCTCCTCATTTTACAGCTGGTTTGTCTGACAGTTGTGCAGAAAACCTATGGTCCCTCTTGTCTTAATTCCACCACTTTAGCATATGTTCCTTTAAAGGCACAAGGACCTCAACTCTCAAGGAACTGAAAGAGCTGCATCCTGACAACCGTACACAATACAATTTTAATCTTTTTGTGTGTGTGGTGAAAGGAGAATTGCTTTTTGTGGGGAAGTGATCCAATAGGATATGCAAACCAAATGAAGGGAGTGAATGAAAAAGTACCAGCTGAATTTTCAGCCCCTTCTCCTAGATGTCTTCAAAATGTACCTAGCACCAGACTGGTACTTTGCACACATCTCAACAACTCCACCGCAGCCAGGTTAGACAAGATTCTTAAAGGATTGAATTCTTTTTTCAAAAGTTTAAGCCTCTTTACAGATCTCCTAACAGTCAAACACACCCTCGGTGGCAGAGTAAAAATTCACCTTCTCTGCAGAAGAACTGAAAAGATACAGAAATGCAATATGGAGAATCCAAAGCCATTTACTCAAACCTTGGCTTTAGAGATCGGAAACAAAAGGAGGGCAATTGGTGCACTCCTCAAATCCTGATCTTTGCCTCAAATTCCTGATGATGCTACAGCTAACAGGGAGCACCATTCACCAGAGTACTCTGTAAGCTCGGAAGCTCAAGGAGGGGGAGCAAGTATTTCCTGGATGCCTATAAGGACCGGGTAAGTGACACAACTAGAGCGAATCGCCCCTGCGAAGAGCCGCAATTAAAGGTTTCTGCCAGTGCGGATAGGATCGTTGTCGCTGTGACACAGTGTAGAAAGCAGTTTCTTCTCTCTCTCCCTGAAGCCCTCTCCTTACTTTTCCCAGGGTTTAAAAATCATGTTAACAATACGCAAACAAAGCATGGCCAGATGCCTTTCGTGGTCAGATGGTTCATTGTTTAAAAAGTTTCAGTTTAAAATCCAAAAGATTGTTAACAGATGCAGTTTCTGGCTAGGGACTGGGAAAAACCTCACTTAAACAAAAGAGTATGTTGTGATTGGAACTAAAAAGGGAATTACCTTTAAAGATAAGAACCACAAACATTTCCTATTTGAAAATACCTCCAGCCCCACCAACAGGACCTTTTTGTGGTCCTTTCATGAAAGTTAAAAAACATTTGACAGTGGACTGCGGCATAGGACAAACCATGGCTGACCAACCAGTCTAGTTGTTTTTACAGATTTGTTTGGACTTTCAACAAGGCCACAACATCCATCTCTTACTCTCCCCCGGATTACTCAATTAGGCAAGCCTCCAATTAATTTCTTTCCAATTCTTTTAGCCCCAGAAATACTTTCGCTGCTTTCATTTTGGCTCTGGAAATGGGTTTTCAACTAGAGATGTAGATAGAGGCAAGTGTGAGAAACGAGCACAGAGCTTGATAAGCAGACAGCCGCTGCTGGGACTCAAGTCACCATTGGGTGGAAAAGAGCCACTTGGCTGAGGAAGGCCTGGCCCCATCCTCAGTTCCCAGTCTCGTTTGCCTCCACAACTGCGGTGCACTTTTACACAGAAAGCCTGCTTTTCACCAACTCATGGGTCTGTTTCTGTTGGCTTTCATGGGCCCTTACTCTATGGCTTCACTATGTGTGAGAATGTCTGTAATGCCCTGGGTTCTAATCTTGAAAGATGGAAAAATCTAAGAAGCCATGAGTCTGTAGCTTTCCCTTGGCCTGAGAAATGGATATGGTTTGGCTTGCTGGTGACAAGCCTGATTTGAAAAGGCTACCTAAGATATGGTCCAAGGAAAACAGCCTGTTCTTCGTAATAAAGATGGTCACCGTGGGCTCCATTTTGAGAACGGGCAACCTGCTCCTTACGAAATCACATTATATGAAGACAGGTAAACATCATGCCCTTTTCACACTTAGGTTTTTGTTCTCGTATTCACTGTATTATTTCCCTATTTATTACAGCGCCCCAAAAGGTCAGTTTCAGACCAAACACAGAGTTTTAACATTTTGAGAAGCTCTAATCAAGAAAATCCTTAATTTAGCAACAACTAGCATCCATTTTAAAGTGAGGCAGATGTATAACCCCATGGGAATCCCTAAAGAGTTAAAATGGCTTTCCCACTCAGCCATGCCTTGGCGGTCACGTAAGGAATCCAGGCTGCAGGAGTGAGGCGAGCAGGAGAACTGCACTTCCAAGGATCTGTGCAGTCTGGCCAGGTAGTAGGAGGAAGGGCCCATCCGTCAAGGAACGGGATTCTGAGACCAGTGGCCACATCCATATCTATCCTCCGACAAAATGGCAACCTCACCATGTGCACATGAGACAGGGTTTGCAAGGGGATTTGATAGGCCTGGAAATTGAAAAATGAGCAGCAGCTGCACATCCAAGGTCATTACTATCCTCCAGGGTTCACCTTTTCTAATCTAAGGGGCAGTAGTTTCCATGATTAACTTTCAATTGCTGTCAAGGGTGTAATAAAATCTGGGAAAGAAGAAAACTTTCCCCTCAGTAAGCTGCTCCCATTTCCTTGCCCTTTCCTTTCCTCCAGTGTATATTCTCAATCCTCACTTCATATTGTTTCCTAATTTTGAGAAAAAACTGCACTTGGATGAGCCAAAATAGACAATGTCCTATGTGCATACAGGCACTTGAAGATTTTTCCTTCTCAGTACCAGGGGCTAGGTCTTTAAGATGGTCCCTTGTTTTCCAAGACCATACAATTCCATCACTTTCAGAACTGAACCCTTTTTATTTTTAAAATTCTTTCCCAGTGTATTACATCTGTTTCCTGAGCCATGACAATGAGTTCAACAAGAGAGAGCCATGTACAAAGAGAAAAGAGGACAAAGTCATTCACAAACACATTTTCCTGGTTACTACTAGATTAGGAATCCTTAAGACTACAACTTAGTCTGATCTGGTAGCAGCTCAGAAACCATACGGAGAGGTTACAGCTGGACAGGTCTCTCAGCAAAGGCCCCCGGAACCAACCCCACATGTAGTTTTATCAGTTGTAACTGCTCAGGTGGAAAACTAATTGTGCTTTCAATTTTTTTTTTTTTTTTTTGACAGTTCAGTATAAGACTAATGACAACTTAGTGGTTTGCTCATCATACACTTATTTCAATGTATCTGATGCTGGAGTTACAAAGAGGAGTTAAGCCATGGTGGCTCGCCCAGAGAGGCACAAGTCTGGCTGCAAAGGGGTACATGCAGGCTTGATATGGCAGAGATGTTCCTGGAAGGCTGGCACGGCAACCAAACAAGGCAGCAAAGAGGCAGTGGGGCTGAGAGACAGTCACATGGGCAAATGCACTAGTCGCATAAGAAGAGCGTTCTCTGACTGATACTGTGTCTTAAAAGGAAATCAGATTGCTACAGTTTGTTCCTATTTCCTTGGGGCAGGAGTGAGTAACTAGAGTGTCCACTGCCTTGGGGACAGGTAACGTTTCCCTTCGGTGCTAAACTGCCCTTCCTATTTACCCCATCTTGATTCAAGTTCCTACTGGAACAGAAGAAAAAGTGGAAAAAGATGGCCATGAACTTGACTGGTTCCAAAAATGGGGTGGGCACAGTCTGCAAATTTGCCACAGGGTTTAAAAGATGGCAGAGTGAACTTTATTGCAGGAGATACAGTCCATGGGGTGATGCCTACACCATGAGTGCTGATATCCATTCTTCCCTTCTGCAAAGGTAACAGCACCAAAAATAAAGACTGCTTTCCTTGCAGGTGGGGCCATGTAGCTAACAGTGGGGTATGAGGGGAATTCAGGTGGATGATTCCCGGGACATGTCCCTAAGAGGGGAGGTGGGGAAGTGTGTTGCCTTCTTCCCCCTTCCTCCATCCTTAGTTTAGAACATGAAATGGCCAGAGAGATACCTTGGACCATGAGGACAAGGCCACACCCTAGAGTCACTGAAATGGAAAGTTGCTAGGAGATGGGAAAGGAAGATTGAGACCCCAGAATACTACTCCTAATCTACTGAGATACCAACTTTTATGGAAAGAACAGGTGGAAAACTCTGATTTTTGTGTACACCACTATCAGATTGGGTCTCAGTTGCACAGGATTACAAATAATGGTTACAGGTGTGGGGGATGTGGGGAGGTGTCCAACGAAGTGTTCATAAAAACAATATCCAAGCTGTTGGCACTGCGCCGCATGTAGCAACAAGGCCATGATCTGGTTTGTACATTACAAAGAGCTGTCTGAATTTCAGTGGTGAAAAGGGAGAGCAAAGGGCATGAAAAGTGATCATTTTCCAGTTAACCATAAACACAACGAATCTCTTACCTTTTTCTTGCTACAGTATATTTGCCATTTTTTCTCAGCTGGAAGTGCAAACATGGCTTCCCTGTGTTTGTCTGTCAGGTCAAGTTCATCCTGAGGGGAAAAAAATAATAATTAGTATTTCATAGATTAAACGTTATTCCTATAGGAGAGGTTATCAGTATCATTAGGGAAAAGAAAAAAAAAAACAACCCACCAACATATAGTTCAATGAACTTGGAAAAGACCAAGAAGGCAAGGAATGTGTTGCCACTGTTAAGAAAGCATGTCTCTGGCATGGGGCTGAGTACCGAGCACAGCAAGGACGACAAGATTCACCCTACACCTCCCGAAGGGTGTGGGAAAGCGGGCTGGGCACAGACAGAACACCTGAGCCAGTGTGCTCTGCTGTAGAGGGCCGGGTGAGCATTAAAGGCCATCAAAGCTCCGGGAGTTTGGAAGGATTACTCGTATTACAGATGACGGTTCACTGGGGATGGCTCAACAAACACTGGGTATCAGGCTGGACCTGAAGAACTTGGACATGATGAGAGGAGGAGAGTAACGGAACCAAAGGCGGGGGTGTGAGAACAGATGAGCTGTGTTTGGGGGACAGCGACTAGCTTAGCGGAAGCACTGAATGATGCAAAGAATCGTCACATGAAAGGTTTGGGAGGTAGGGAGTGACCAGTTGTGAAAAGTCATAAATGTCAGAATAAGGAGTTTCTTCTCTTGACCAAGGAGAGCCAATGAAGGTTGTGAACAAGCACATGGCATCTTCATTGCCATAAATCCCACTAATATTTATTCAGAACTTTACGCACCAAGCGTTGTGCAGGCATGGTCTCAGTTCCCACAACAACCCTGAGTCCACTCATTATTTATGTCCTCATTGTAGTAACAATGCCTACTGTAATACAGCTAGGGGAAATTTAGGTGGAAGATTGGGTATGTAACTTGCTCCAGACCACACACCTAGTAATGATGGGGCTGGTTTTCAGCCCGCAGCTGTCAAACTCCAGAACCCAGACTCAGCCTCTCAGATCAGTGTCTGGAAACATTAATTTTACAGTGGAATGCAGCTTAGATTGGACACTAAGGGAAGGCAATTTACAAACATCCATAACTAATGAATAACAACAATAGGATGATGAATATAAAGTGTTTGGAGAAAAGCTCTTGGCATTTAATAACTCAATCATCCCTGGTCTGTGTTACTGGCATTGAGCGTCTAGTACATTTTTATTACTAGAGGGAAAGTTACCTAGTTGAGGGTGCAGACTGGTGGGTGTGAGGCACATAAAAAGATGCCGTAAATTAAGGCACAATGAGGTTTCGATCCCTGAGGAGCATAAACATGTTCCCCCTCTGAATGCCCTTGGTATATACTTGTAATTCTGCCACTAGTAGACATGGGCTTCACACCTCATACTCCTACCTCCATTTATCATCAAGTCCTGTCATTTCTTTCGTGAAAGGTGTCACGATTTTTCCTTTTTTGATTCCCAATGAAACCACCCAAATTTATGTTCTTGTATCCACTCCATCGGCTCCGGGCAATAGCCTCCCCACTGCTTCTCCTTGCCTTTCCAACCCTCCCTACGGCACACCCAGAATTCATTAAAACAGTGGTACTTAAACCTGAGAGAACCTCGGAATCATCTGGAGGACTCCTTAAATCATTGATTGCCCAGTGTTTAAGGACTGAACCGCTGGGAGCGAGTGTGAAAATCTGAGTATCTAAAAAGTTTCCAAGTGTTGCTGATGCTGCTGGTCCGGGGACACTTTAAGACCAGCGCCTTAAAAATCAAGCTCCTATGCTGTTTTGAGCTCCCAGTTCAAAAAACTTCACTAGTTCCACACCCTGACAAAATTAATTACATATTCCTCAGCTTGCCTTTGAGGTCTTCCATTTAAAACCCCAACTGATTTTGCCAGGCTTGCTTCTAGTTATCCCTTCTGCCTTATTCTGTTACCACCTACACCTCCAGGGCCCAGCCACTCAGGGCCTGATACGGTGTGAACTTCCTGGGGAAGTTCTTCATCTCCTTAAGCCTCTACTTCCTCATCTTCAGGATGGGCATATCATTCCGCTTGCAGGGCTATTGTGAAGATTAGCAACATGGACTAAGTATGGGGTAATGCTTGGCATAGGGCGGGTAGCTGGGTGGCTGCAGTATTGTTATTTCTCTCGTCATTTAGACATAAATCAGGTGCTATTTTCTTTTAAGAGCAAAGTAAACAGTTAAGTCACTAAAACACACACCCATGCACTATGACACCCTAACCACGAGAAACTAGTTAAGAATTTTAACAATGAACAATCAGGGAAGGAATGAAAGATATTTACAGAAAATCCCATTATGAGGGAACATGTTAAAAATGTTAAGATTTTGGCATGCAACTATTAAATATGTGAAGTGATTATTTTTCTTACTTTCTTCCTTTTTTAATTTCCTATAAGTCATACCTGCTCTCACCTATTGATGAATGAGGGAAGTAATGTGACATAAATCACTTCCCAACAATTACGGGGGTTTTTTTGGTGGTGGTGGTGGAGGGGGGTGGGGGGGTCAGGTCAGTTATTCGAACAGCTCGATAATATGCTGCTTAGTTTGGGGAAAAGGTTTGTTATTTGTAAGAGAAAACAGCACTACTCACGTTGCATCTTTTACTACACTACAACACTGTGTTTGTGCTATCTGAGCAGAGGTATAAAGAAACAGGTGAATCCTAAAACCTAGAAATTCACAGCGAAGAGGATTAATAAGTATTAATATTACTATATTTTGCTGTTACAAGTAGAATAATTCCTCCACAGTTGAACTAGGACTTAGAAGCAGATGGTTTTATGCAAGAAGAGAATTTCCATAAAATAAAAAAATTAAAAATTGCTATAGGGTCTTTGGATCTAATTTTGCACTTCATCTCAGGCAAAAGGCCGAGAAGCGATTGGATCTAATTTTGAATTACACTAAGAAAATGGAGGTGGGGTACCTGGGTGGCTCAGTCTGTTAAACATCGGATTTTTGATTTTGGCTCAGGTCATGATCTCAGGGCCGTGAAATGAGCCCCATGATGGCCTCCACACTGAAGATGGAGCCTGCTTAAGATTCTTTCCCTCTGCCCTTCCAACCCTCCCACCCCCGCATGCTTTCTCTCTCTTTCTCTCTCTCTCTCCCCCACCTCAAATAAATGAATCTTTTTAAAAATAATAAAATTTAAGAAATTTACAGAAAAAGAAAATGGGGAAGAAATAATGGATACTGGTAACGGTAATAGCTAACAACTATTGAGTACTTTCTTTGTGCTCAGCAGTACTGTTTTGTATGAATTAATTTATTTTCACAACAATCCTATAAAATGGGTACTGTTACCCCATCCTCCGGGAAACCGAATCATAGAAAGATTAAGTAGCTTGCTCAAGGTAACAAAGCTAGTAAATGGTGGAGGAGGTACTGGAGTCTAGACTGTTTACACAGCCCACGTTCTCAACCACCAGGTTGTCCATTCTGTTGGTCATTCAGCAGGTAGGTAAAATCACGGCACTGATGCAAGTATGAAAATGTATCCATCTGCTGCACTCACAGCCTACTGAGTGTCCCTTAGCAGAAAGAGGAGGATGCCGTTGTCAGCCAGTCCTGAGTTCCAGGTCTGGCTCTCATGGGTTATGCAACCTTGTGCAAGTGACTTAACCTCTGGACTTCAATTTCTTCACCTGAAAAATGAGAATGATAATATATATCTGACAGAGATCTCTTGAGGATTCACGAATTCACGCAACCAATTTTTTTTTTTTGAGTATTTATTAAATGCCAGGCATTGTGCTAGGTGCAAGGGACAAAAAAGTATCACAGAGCTCATATTCTTGAGTGAGAAGAAGGGAAATCCAGCAATCACATGAACAAAGATATGATCACACAGGAAGCTGAGCTCTGACAGTCCACCTGTTGTGGGGAAAGGCAGGGCAATGAAGGCTGCCCCAAGGAAGCAAAGCGAAAGCTGAGAGATGAATAGGAACTAAACAGGTAAAAAGCACGACAGGCAGTGAGTGAACAGTAGCTTTGAAGGATACTATGAACTTTGGTCTTTCTCTTAAGAGCAACCAGAGGTCACTGGCCGATTCTGAGTAAGAATGACATAGATTGAATTAGATAATGGCTGGGAGTGCCTCGGCACAAGGCCCAGAGTGTAATAAGACCCCCCCCCTCCATTCCAAAAGTATCTCTGCTCTGACTCATTCCATTTTAATAATATGGCTGAATCAAGCATGCAAGACTCTTAAGAGACTATCACAGCCTTAGAGATCAATCAACACTTACTCGCTGTCCTACCCATTCCAGGACCCTGGCCAGACAAAAGAATACAAAGATGAATAACAGACCTTGATTTCATGGAATTTAAGAATCTAGTTAGGAAGACAAGATGATAGAAAGCTTCAGTGGTTCCCTTTCTTTTCAGGATAAAGTCCAAAATTCCTCAGCAGGTAGGTGGAGGCCCTTTGCGATATGCTGACTTGTCCCTTCTCCTCTTCTGCTGTGACCACCGCCATGGCCACCAGCCACCCTTTAGCACTTCTGGTCACAAGTTGCCCACTTCTGAAATTTTTGCACATGCTGTCCCCCACCTCTTTTTTCCCCAGATTACAGAGATTTTTTATTTTGATACTTAATTCAAATATTGGAAAAGGCAATCATGAAAAACAAGGCAGGATCACTAGATCTCAGTATCTCTTTACATGAAGTTTTTTAGAAAAAGTACATCTGTGGGGCAGAAAGCAGACTGGTGGTTGTCTGGGGCTAGAGGCAGGCAGGGCTGACTGCAAATGGGCAGGGTGATGGAGATGTTCTGGAGCAGGACTGTGGCAATCCTGCACAGCTGCATACATTTACTAAATTCACTGAACTGTACACTTACCATAGGTGGATTCTATACCACGTAAATTACATCTCAATAGGCTGCTAAAGAAAAAGAATCAAGTTTGGTTGTGGGACCCCCAAGGAAAAGAAAAAATTCAGAGTAGAGAAAACAACCTTGAGGAAACCACAAGGAAAGAAATTCCTTTTTTTTAAATTTTATTATGTTATGTTAGTCACCATACATCACTGGTTTTTGATGTGGTGATCCACGAGGAAAGAAATTTCTGATTGAACGTTAGATAAACCCAGCAGTTGGCTTAGAAGAGAGCCTGACTGGAAAAAAAAAAAAAAATGTAAAGAAAAGGAAAAATGTGGTCCCCTTTAGGATAAGTAGTTTGCTCTGGGAACTGTTACAATTTCAAACACAACTTTTGTTTGAAACCAACCAAAGATCACTTATATGAAATATCCTTTCCTTGAAAATTATATAGACTCTATTAATACGCATTCCATTTAGACCAAGAGATAGTATTTCCCCTAAGGTCCCTTAATATTAAAGTGATAAGTTAAATTTAATGATACATTAAAACCTTTTCAGTGTTTTGGTTTTCATGTTTCCCTACTGGGGGCGCTATAGAAAACTGTTGGCTCCTCCGTGCCTTTGTGAATTAATAAGCAAGTTTTCCGCGAAGATTAACAAATGTAATTAGCCCAATCCCAGGAGGCATCCTGGAGGCTTCTAGATCACCTTACTTTTTGTTTTGTTTTGTTTTGTTATTTTACAGTCATGCTAAGTCGGATGTTATTTTGGGGATTGTCAATTAATGCCAAGACAAGCAGAACAAATTTAGTTCCTACTCCTACACCCTAGACTTGGATGGCCCAGCTCCTTTCACTGGCCACAGAATTTTCTTTCATATTATTTTTTTGTTGGACAGAGTTTTAAGTTAATTGAAGGAAAATAATTTAGCCAGTGATAAAAAGGAGAAACAATCGCACCAAGCGTCATTCCCCTTCCCCTCAGAGCTCAAGCTTTTTGAAAACTAAAACCAGCAAACAAAAGCCTATATAGGCTTTTCTTAGAGAAAATATTAATTACTTTTAATATGTTCATAAAATCCATATTTGAGATACAGTATCTTGAAAAACGGTATAAATTATATATTTTCTATGAAGAAAAAAGGACCTTTGAGCGAAGCCCAGCTGTGGGAACTAAAGTTCTAGGCTTCATCACAAACAAAGCATATTATTAAGACCCACTTCTGAAAGGTTCTGTACAAAGAAATCTCACTGGTCCTACACTGCACAGTAAGCAGGCAGCGCTATAAAGAAATGTATATAAATCATAAAACAATTGGCACAGTACAAATAAATCTAAGGAAATGGATTGATTTGCTAGATAAAGCAAGGGAAGGAATTTTGAAAAAATATACAATAAGGGTCTTAAATGAGTTGAAAGAGCTCTTTTTAGAGATTTAGCTAAACTGAAATAGGGAGTTATTTATAAAACTTCCAACACAGTACTGAAAGCATTTATTCTTTGAAAATCCACCAAATCAATAGATTTCAGTGAGCCAACAAGTAAGTTTCCAGATTAACAAGAGAAATCTTTAACAAAGGAATTCTGGATTTCTATTTCTAATGAGTTAAGCTAACTCTTTACATACATACTAATACAGATTCATGCAGAGGTAATAGGACATGCAATTAATGCCGGTGGGGGGGAATTAAAAAAAAATGAGGAGACAAGAAGCTAAGATAGGTCCCAGGGGTCACCCTGCCAACCAACTTACTGTTTTGTGTGTTTTTGTTTTTGCTTTTTAGTGGTCTTGACCAGGTAACGAGCCATCTGACTCAATGTACAGACCTCGGGGAATTTCTAACCATTATTATTACTCAGACAAAGCTAACTTTTCTCCTTCAAATTACATACTTCAGGTATTTGCCCACAGCATGGAGACCCAATTCACCCACCCTAGCCCCACCCACCAAAGATTTCCCCACAGGAAATCCTCAGCAATCCTCAGGTTCACTTAACATACACCCTACATTAGCTGTTTCTGGATTTAACCCTGTCATTAACCCTCTCCTTTCATCCCATAACTCAACACTACCAGAAATAAGTCAGACGCTCGGGGGCACAAGTGACTAGGCCTTAAGTCATATAACGTAGTGATAAGTACAATGTCATGGGAGAAAAGGCCAAATTACAGTTTTACAAACGTAGAGAGAAAATGTACTATTAGGCTGAGACATTTCATCAAATTTATGAACATCCATCCCTACCACAGCAAGTGACCATCACATCCATAAGTCACGGACTGCCAATGCAGCTCTTAAAATTTAACCACAGTGACCTTGAGAAACAGTCCTTTACTTTCATAGCAGTGGTTTGAAATCTGAAAGTGAGATTCCATATTTGTCAGTTTAAATAGAAGTACATTCAGTGACTTATTACCTGCTCCTAACCAGTCAGGAAAAACATAAATGGAAAACAACAGAGTGCTTTAAATCCCAAAATGGATGTGTACACACAAGAGAACAAACGTTGAAGGTTTTCAGCCGGTAAGATTTCTGCCAACATTCTTAGTCACTACACGAAATACCACAGTATGACTCACCACCACCTATACCCAGTCATGTTCTCTGTGTCTGACAGACATGTTTTCCATTCAATATATAAAAATAAGAAGTGAGATCCCACAAGCAAAGGCTGACTAATAGAAATAATTTTTAGTTTCTTTTTTTTTTTTTTTAAAGATTTTATTTATTTATTTGA